ACAGGTGACATATTAATCTTCATGTGATCTGTAAATGTGTAATCAATTACGTTCTCCAGTCTGCACGGGGTTAGAGAAAAAAAGAGACTGTATGCGAAGAAGAAATATCACTTTTTTGTGGAGGTGCCTGTATTGATGGTTTCACTCATTTATCAACAAATTTTATTTAGCATAGAGACCATAATTTGGATGGCAGCTTATGCTCTACCTCTAGTGTCATGTAGGGCATCATCCAAAGGACAGAATGTGCATAAATTTCCTTTTATCATTACTAGGCAGCTTAGCTATTAGCTGATGTCCCCATGTATATCCCTACCTCCAACGTTTTCCTCTTGTGGGGCAAATTCAAAGCTATCCAATGCTTAGTTTGTTCGAAGTAATATGGCGGCATGCTATTGGATTTTTAGGAAGAAATCATTACAAGAAGAAATGCTGTAAAAGGGAGACAGGTAAAATGTTTGATGCCAGACGCAGTACTTGCCAACCCTCTTAGTAATGCCGTCAAGGCGACGAGGATAGAGTCGCCTAGATCGCTCTCACAACCCTGTTGAACTCTCTACGAATAGGGAAGGGTGGAAACGAGATTTAATCTTGTCCAAATAGCAAACCAGTTCAATTAAATCGGAGTTCGCCAGCAGCCTTATTTAAAATAATGGGCTGTGCAAGCTGGCTCCTTATCACCTACATAGATATTGGAGGTAGTAAGGTAGAAAAACAAAGGGAAGTCAGGCCTACTTAAGCCCTCATCCAGACCGCGTGAATGTACAAACAGCTATCTGTTGTGGATGTAAAATGAGGCATTTCAAGTATGCATTAGGAGAAGAAGTACCTTAAAGGCGGAACTGATAAGATTGACGAAGATAAAGAAGAAGCCAAGAAAGACCCTGCTCTCACTTGCAGCAACGTAATGACTCAAGAAATGCCTTTGTTTAACCGGTGGCGTTGTGCATTTATTGGCCCTTCGAATTGTTTAAAGGTGAAACCACCGACTATCATGTGGCTGTCTGCCAAATGAAAGGCCAACTCTCATCCCCTTAATTGGAAATAAACAGACAATCACATGAATTAACTCAATAATTGGTCAGATAATCTACTTTTCCGAAAATCACATGGCAGCCTTGTAAAAGCGACAATTTTTTTGGAATTTAGATAGCCAAAAAAGGAGGAGTATACGCCAGGTAACTTTTTAAAAGGTGGAAAAATTGGGATGATATTCTTAGATCAAGTCGTGGTTTGACAATGCATTAGCTTTTTCGTTTCATGAAATTAGGTTGAGACACCTACTTTTCATTTGGGGAAGAAAGAAAAGCATAAGGTTTTGAATGACAGCTAAGGGACTGGAAAAGTGATCTTCCTAATTGAACAATGCTTCCCGTTAGGGCTTTATATTCACATGACGTAAAATAACTTGCCACCTTTGCGTAACTTTGGTGACACCTTGAGCAAAGTTTGCAGAATAAAATGCAAACAAATGACAACTGCAGGGATTCTGTCCCCGCGACCAGTATGTTTTCTGGTTCCAAATGAAGCAAACTGACATGTCACTTCTTTCAAACCATCACGGTTGTTTATGCAGTGCCTTTAGATAATTAAGCATCCATTTTCAGTTTTGAGGTTTGTGATTGATGCCTTTTAAGGAGGTCAGATAAAGTGCACTGGTATTGTGCCTTAGAAATGAACCGAAATGCCATCTCGTAATATAATTGCGGTGATCCTCATCTACTCTGCTCTTCCTCGCCTCTCTTGTATTGTGAACACACGTCAGTTTTCCACAGAATGGCTAAAAATGCTTCTCGAATCAAATAGGGAAACTGCAAAGGTGATGGTGGAATCAAGGATCAAATATTGCGGTGCTGTAATTGAAAAGATAAGAGTTGGAGAAGTTTTGGTTAACCAAAAAGTGAATATCATGTTGGTAGCAGAAGATTAATAGAAGGAGTTGAGTTATACCTTTCACGTTTTAAATACACCTCTCTCTTCCCATAATCCAAATCAATTTCTTTTACTCCCCTTTCTCAGTGATATCAACACCTCTGCGTCATCTACCACACTCTCAGTCCACTCGGTAGAATTAAAATTTGGCTAATTGCGTAACTTTGCTGTTGGATTATGCATAAGTTACTTCCAGCACTCGAGTATAAGACTTAACGGATTAGCGAGCTGGTAATTAAGACAAAGAAGCTTGAGATATTGAGATTGATAATCTCAAACTCAACCAAGTAAGCAGGTCATAATCAGCAATCAGGCAAGATCAATCGCTGAAATGTTTGTCTACATTTAGCCAATTTCTTTAGTGCTCCTACAAGGGGAAACAAAAAACAAGTTTAACAGTTGATTTCATAATCCAAGAAAGGTTTCGTTTCTGCTCGCCCTGCATTGAAAGCACCTCGAATGTCCAGGTGCTTTTGCGCCAAATAAAATATTTTTACAATATCTACAGCAACCTGGTTCGTTTAATTAAAAGCATCGCAATCACGATGCCTTGCCATTATCCGCATAATCATGCTGTCTGCTAGTCCTGGAAAGGTAAAGCAAGAACCCTTCTTAAAAACAAATCAATGCTACAATTTTTAGTTGCCTCATTATTGCAAGTGACGGGAATTGGGACCTACTGAATTACTTCGAAGTGGTAGCAAATGCCTGTCAAAGAAGTTAAAATACACACCACGAAACACGAGTTGAAGGAAATTTTGTCTTTCGGATGAAGTCCGTCGGCTTGCAGGTGGTTAGTACGGACATTTTTTAGAGGAGCGTATTCATGGACTCTCCTCAATGCACATGTGCGATCGGAAGACACGGATACATAACTAAGTCCACCTAAGCCAAAGTCGAAGTCGGAGTGGTAGTCTGAATCTGAGTATGAGTCTGAATTTGGGTGTGGGTCAATGAACGTCTGGTTGATCAGTTGTGATCTATGGCCTCCTAGTGGTTATCGGTACACAAAGACTTACCTCATACCTAATGCTTAGATTTGCCAAACGGCACCTTGTGGAAAAAAAAGGGCTTCGATTGAAGGTACCGTTGTATTGATAAAGGTCCTTTGGATTACCTTTGGATCTGCTAAAGAGGAAAGCAATATGTGGGAAGATGATGGTGGTGTTAAGAGAGGCCCGTGTAGCGAGGTAGTTCCCTGTGAAGAAATGTAAGAACGGGGAATGAGGAGGCATCATAAAACCAGAGCACTAATGTTAAATGCTAATCAATTGTACGGCTGAAGGGAACATGGAAGCAGCAGATACCCGTATCAAACCACCCCTATGCTGTCAGACCTGTCCTTTCTACTGTTTGCTGCCTTACGAAAGGACCACTTGAATTTGGGATGTAAAGTGGGTAACTTGAGTTAGCATCGGCCCATGTTTTGTGTTCAGGCATGGTTTCTTTTGGTCCTGTTCTTGAGTCAAAGTGTGTTGAGCATAATCAGTTTCTTATTTCCCAAGTTTTGACCTTTGTGAAATGCTTCACCTACATTTTATTTAATTGTTTGCATTAAATAAGCCATCCCAGTAATCAAAAATTCTAATGTATCCACGTTATGTGGCCATCATGGATGAGACGGCCTAGACGGGCTTAACGAAAAAACCTTGAGCTTCTTTTGAAGAGTTAAAATGTTTTGCTTTGTAATTGCAAAACTGGCTACTGTTTAGTCCTGATAGACAACAATTAGTGAAATATTTTTTGACATTTCTTAATCTAATTATTAATATGAGGCTTGAACTTCAACTTCTCACATTAAGTAGCATCGAAATGGGGGCAGTATTCTGCAAAAATATCTGCTAATTCTCCCCTATTCAGAGTCATAGGAATGGGTGTTCCTATCAAGGAAATCGCATGCCGTAGGACTTGCTTTTTTATATTTAGACGCGGAGTTTAGGTAAGAATTGCTGAGTCCTTTTAGACGGCTTTTGCTAAACCGCTATTTACTGGCGGAAAGGCCGTAAATGGCAGTAAATTTTAGCAGTCGTGAGTTCAGCTCACGGCCAATTTTGATGCCAATTTAAATGTCAACTTCAGGCTACTAATAGACGTGGAGGAACCCTTACTAACTGGATTCTCCTCTAATGGTTTTTGTGCCTAAGACAATGTATTTTACACCGCCCTCTTATTCTTGTGCATTCATGCATGTATTTGTAGCTAGGAGTCATGGAGCAGTGCAGTCGACCTGTAGACATGTGTATACCGGTGATGGTGGGTTTCCAGCTTTAAAATGCTTTTATGTCCCTTTTGTGCCTAGATCTTTAATTAGTAGGACATAATTTGACTGAAAAGGGCAAAAATTCTCATTGTGCTCGCTTTTGCCTTCCAACCGGTTTGCGAGAATGGGCTGGATAAGAGGGTATGTTAATTCTAAAGAAGAATGTAAAGGGACTGTTTTTGTTTGAATGGCATTGCT